CACGCACACGCGGAGAACCGTCGAGCGTTTTATCAGAATTAAATACGGCGGCGACGGGAAACCTGGAGAACCGTTGACACACCGTGTAATAAATACCGCGGGAAACAGATGCGTTTGCTGTGAAAAAAAAATATAGGAAAAATACCGTGTAATGCGCCTAAAACGCCCTGTACACGGTGAGATGCTGTTGGAATTGAAAAAATTTATCCGATAAATAAAATTCGAAGTATCATAATACTGTCAATATTTGTAAACCATTGCAAGTGGAAATAATTCAAATAAACGTTCAATACCGTGTATGCGTTTGTGTTATATATTTTTTTTATTTTTGTGGGAAGTAATCGTCTGTTATGGATTGTAACAGGAATTGTTACGATCGTAACTGAATTGATATATTATTCTACCAATTTAACTAAAATGAATTTAATGAAAATCAAGGAGGTATGGGCGTGTGGTAGCTACCAGAAGGATTTTCTAAGGATATTTACCATCTGGGGAAAAATCGATGTACACGACATCGGTTCAGTGACAGGGATCCGTCTGCTTCTAGGTACGTAGCAGGTAGTAAAATCTATTCTATGCCGTCCACGAGCTACCAAATACCGCAGTATCAGCTCCTCGCGACTTTCCTCCTCCACTTTAAGCTTTCATATCACTGCTTTCAATTGAATTACCGATACGCTGCAATATGCGTTTCAAAGGGTAAAATTTGACCTAATCTCTGCTTTTGCTATTATAGCTCACTGAATTGCTTTTGATCTCAACTGTTAAGCCACGCTGACAAAAATATGTAGTCCCATTTAAAAAAGTATCTACTTGTACTTGTCTCTTCTAACCAAATAATACTTTCCCCTCACATTTTACTTGTATCTTCAAAAACAAGTGAGACATTGAAGGTGTGCACGTCAGGTGGAACATCTTGTATATTTAAGATGTCAATTTATATTAAGAACCAATTTATGAAAATAAAAAAAATTTGAAATAAAAATAGAGTTGCACATTGTCGGTGCAGTTACCAAAGGGTGAAGATTGTTGTCCAATTTAACTCCTCTTTCATCATCTCTCTCTACCAGTGTCCACACCAATCGTATTGACTCGTCCCATATATGTATTGGTCCTGAATGGTCACCATCCCTCGACTTCTATTTTTATATCGAACTCGAAAACGAAGAGGCCGTGCACTCGTCACTGCAACAAAATTCACCGAACCGTACCGTTGTTTTCTCCGTTAATACTTCGAAATTAATATACACGAGTTTATCGATTCCCAGCCAGTGTCACAATCACCAAGCGGACGTGATAATTCGCGAAATAGAAAACCACCGATTATGCAATACGCATGCTCGTTATTAACATCGAATAAATCGAAGATCGGTCCTCTCCGTTTCGGAAAATCGTGCGCGCGTGTGGAATTTATATGAAAACTTTATTCAACCGTAAATGAGATTAACATTGTGCGACGTTCGTAACATATATATATATACATGTACATGTAACAGACAGAGACAATATCGTCGAACATCACATGAAAATTATCCTCGTCGTTTCCCTCTAACGTGTGTATAAATCAAAAAATTCTCGCTCGTCGAAAAATTCGGCTGTATATATTTACCACCACTCGACGAGACATATGTATACGTGACCGTTTAAATTTCGTTATTACGACAGCTCGATTAGTCGATTCCACCACGGACGATCCATCCTCTCCAATTATTACAGAGTACTATATTCATTTAAACGCGAAGCACACCCGAGGCCACTCTCGCCCGTCCGTTATCTTCGAACACGATCGGTTCGCGCCAGCCGGCACACGCCGTTCTCTCGTACTCGCACACACGTAACACGATCAAGTTTATTATTTTATAGAATTGGATTACCCACGTCGACAATGTGTACAATACGTGAAACAGCCTGTCTACTACAGTGGATTGGCTGCTCTCTCTCAGGGAGCATCCGGTAATTCTAGCAGATACACTACATCGTGGTGGTCCAGATGATCGTGGTGTCCCTGGTGCTCGAGCAAAAAACGCAAAACGCTCCTTTAAAAATCATCTACCATATAATTTGTCGATAACGATTAACTTGTATAGAAAATATATGTACAATAATACTGCTGAATGCAACGAACGATAGAAATCGAATTGTACAGTAAATTATTGATCAGTGTCCAGACAAGCACCCAATGGTGGAGATGACATCTGACCACTCGTCGATGATTTACTGTATATCGAGACGTAACCGATAATAAAGCAATCTCACTCTTTCGTTCTCTCTTCCACCGATACAATCAACAACGAGTCACTATTCCCTTGACCATAATACTCGCAAAATTTAAAACATTCCCCCGTTAGGACCAACAACTAACTTCACCGCTCTCGCAACAGTTTTCCAAATCCCACTTAAACACACTGGTATCGTTCTACGTGGTATCGTGCGCACCTGAGCGCACGGTCGTTTCGCGAACGTCAGGTAGAACTAATTCGGACATTATATGAGCAAGGTCGTCGCGTCGGTGCGGAGCAAGGCAATAGAAGATAATGTCGTTAGGCTGTGCTGCATTACGCCGGGATTATCACGATTAATTACGCGCACCTGGACGTAGGCCGAAATATGGAGTATAACCATTATTATATCGCGGAAGGTTCGCCCCATCGCACGCAGGCGGTTAGACATCGTAAAAACGTGGTCAAACTGCTCTCGCATCGTAAACAGTAACTCACATATTTGTTCACGGAAGGCTGTCACGTTTAGTTTATCAGATCACGTACCATATTAGGAATCATATTTAAAAAGTACGAAAAATTCATCACGAAAGCACGATGGAAGTAAAAATCATGAGGATATAGAAATAGAAATTACATAAAAATGTGTAGACTTGTAATTTGGAAAGTATACAGGCTGAGGCACCTACAACAGGCCACCTGAATATCTCGGCTGTTGCTGGTGATACAAAAAACTGTGTCGAGGATCATATAATTTGATGTGGATAGTTTTTTGATAGGGGTCATACGAAGGTCAACTTTTTTTTTTAAATAGAAAGAAATGTTTCCTACGTACCTCCATAGGTCATTGTACGCGTCTTAAAACGCTCTACTAGGTGATACATAAACAAGTCTTCCCTAAAAAAGAACGAAGCTGACCTTCATATGACCCCTTCGCGTCTAGCTCCTAAAAAACCATTTACACCAAATTATGTGCTCCTGGATACCATGCAAGTTTCGTCTGACACATTTCTTTCTATCGCCAGTACCGGCCAAAATATTCACGTGGCTTGTTTTAGGTGCCCCATCCTGTAGTTTGAAAAAGAACCTTAATTTTACGTATCGAAATCAGAAAATTCTCAGAATCGTTTACGATACTTGCACCAGATAAAAAAGATCGTTATCACGCAGGAAAAGCTACCCAGCCCCCGGAATTGTTACGTTATCAGGTCTCTGATAGACGAGCCATTTCCGAAGTATCGATACATTCCAAGTGTCCGCGTTTGAGCATGCACGAAACAGCATTTTGGCCAAGTTTTCGTGATCCCAGACCACCGGTTTCCATCCTTCCACGGGACCCCGATTGCGTTTCGAAATGGCCGAAACTTATCGTCCACGGAGTACCGCAGCCCATCTATCCGGCTCGGTTCTTTCGCGGGAAATTGCCGGACCGAAGCCACTCGCAATCTCTCGTTGTGGCCACCGTGACAAATCTCCGTGCTTCGGCGTTAACAACCACCAGGTTCGAATGAAGTCGCCAGTATACAAGCGAGACAACGGAGAAAGTTTTCCAAGTGTGGACGATAGAACGCGTCGAGGCCTCGCTGGAGGATTGTTCGCGCCATTAATCGCGTCACTCGTCGCAGACAGATTACACAATTACGGTTCTATTATCGCGGGAGTACACATAGCTTACATTCACACACATATCACAACAGTTAATACAGCGGCCGTCACATCGAATTGCCAGCTTGAGCAACAACGGAGAGAGAGATATACACCGAACACCCAAATTTATCGGTTCCTTCCTCCCCCATACCACCCCTTCATCGCGGAATTTATCGGATAAAGATGAAATCTTTCCGTCCCCTCCGGCTGCCGATTTGCATTATTCACGGCGATACGTCGGTCGCGTGAGCGCCCTTCGAAGTAGCTACTTGAGCATCCGTCAGGTTAACGATATCACCCACCAACCGGGCTGGTGCTCGCTATTTACAGAGATATAATCGGTGGATGGTCCAGCTTGTTACAGAATGTTTGATTACTCCGCGGGAACGCGCGCATCTTGCCCTGATACCGACTTATCTCGGTGGTTCACGATCTCACACCCCCTCCAACCTTAGTCTATGTAATACGTATCACACGATAACGTCTCTCACCTTTCGTGGATGCATCCGAAGACCTCGACGAGATTCCCTAGGTCCAAAGGGGAGACAGAGTTCGTCGGGGGCTTAATATTCACCACGACCACCTAGAGGTTCGTTAAAGCAAACACGTCACGACGACGATGCCATTCGTTAGTCCAGCCCATCCCCCGGAACGTTTAATACAGAGTGTCCTATATGAAAACCGTTTGCAGATTCCAAGCCTTCTCTTGGATCGTAGAAAAAAATTACTTCAGACGAAGTATGGAATTAATTAGAACCAAAGTCCTTCGCCTACTTTTTCACCCCTCGTAGGCATACAAGTGCCCCTTTCCAACAGAATCATCTACTCCCATTCACATAAAATGTTACAAAAATATTCCAACAAATATCACCGCGAAAATAATCCTCAAAGTATTAAATTCTACATTGAAAATCACCGATTGAAATAATACAAGACACACGATCGAACAGTTAATCGTATCAAAAGTATACACGATGTTCAAAGAAATTCCATTCAACAGCCACAGAAAGAAAAAAATAAAATTTCGTTATAGAGATACTCACACAGCTGGACACCCTGTACACCGATTGAACACAGACACACACTGTCACTCTACTTGTTCCAGATCGCGCGTGTGCCGGTGCACGATGGTCAGTTGATGGTGGTCGAGTGTAGCACAAGCTTCAACGTGGTGAACATCATCAATAGCGCGGTGCACGCCATGACGGATGGGGATGACGCGATGCTGTGCTGCATGGCCGCTGGATTATCTCCCTTGAACACGTGAACGAGGACACGGGCCGGTTGCGCATTGCTCGCCTCGCAGGTGTAATTCCCGGAATGACGATCGGAGGCACGCGGTACCTCCAGCCAGCTCTCCCTGCCGATCAGATCGGTACTGACATTGACCCCTTGCTCGACGTCGTAGTTGATCATCCGGAAGTTATGGTACCAGAACAGATAGGAGGGGGTCTCGGTCGAATTTTCCACGAGACAGTGTAGCTGCAGGGTGCTACCTGGCCTCACGAACTTCTCCGAGGGGCCGGCTATCTCTGCTCTCGCCTCTGCAAATGGCAGAACGTGACACGTCAGACGTGAGCTGCTTACCGTTCTAAATCCATATTGTTTACCGCACAGAGGGTTTCCATGGGTCGGTTATGAGGGAACTGGGAGGGGATCAGGTATATGCATCGTGGATGGTTAAGGGTTGTACGGAGCCAGCGTACGAAATCTTTCTCTACCAAACACGTGCGCTTTTTCCTAACCTCTATCTCTCTTTACAGTGGACGAGGGAACCTTTCCGCTATCTACCTACCGACGATACAGTCTACTGGGATTTTAACTCTGCCTCGTGCCAGTGATGGGAACTTCGATACCCTAGCTGGCAATTTGTCGAGGATAATCTGTGCTTTTCTAATGGACTGTCAGGGCTGTCGAATCTACATAACTTTCAGCATGAATATTCATGTTTAGTGTTACCTCGGATTCATCATCTGTTCATTAACCGGAGCTGTCAAACTTCTCGGGATAAATGTTTGGTCGTTCGGAAAGTTCGTAGCGTTTCGAGCACGGTGTCTTTGTTACCTTTTCACTGGACAAAGGAAAAATCGTTCGATCCGGTAAAGGTGTCTATTTTCCAAGTTGTCGATGGAATGCATTCGCTGTACAAGTTGCCTGTCGTGTCTTTATTGTTTCCCGTTCGAAGTACCAACGGAACGTGTGAACAAGCACAAAGGCCATTTTCATTTTGTTCTGTGAAACTTGTGATAAAAAATTACACTGCCCCGAATGAAAAAATTTTATCGCAACAACCCAATTAATAGTACTTTTCCCCATATGATGATTATTGTTTAGTTCGCTGGAATATTCTGCACGAACAAAAAACCTCGAAAACAAGGTCCATTTAAAAGCAGGTTGAAGAGCTTTTAGTAACTAAAACAATCGAAGTTGTACTAGATAACTGGTAAAATGAAATCAATTGAAAAATAGAAAGAAAGTAAGAATACGATATACAGTAAATCGTCGAAAAGTGTCGGAAGACTCCTCAGCACTGAACAACACTCATCCAGGATTTACTATAGATTTTATCTCCATCCTCAACCTCTCGAATATCTACTGCCACATATGTGTACATTCACTTTTTCTGTTATTCAAACAAGATTCCAAAGATACAATGAAAACCCCTAAGAGCTAGATAGAGGTAAGACATTCCGAACACCCCGATACTATTCTTCAATGTGCCCTTTAGAGTAAGAAACAAGACACAAATTGAAAATCCAGACGATCCACTAGCCTGCACAAGAGTTCTAATTCTATAAAAGCTGATCCACAAGATGTCCCAGGACGTCCACGAATCCCATCATTGGCTTTTCACTACGTGGGCTGTCTCCGCCTTCGGTTTATCCTACCGTCGCCCCCGTTTGTTCACTCGCAAGAGGTCTGACGCGACGTTCGTGAGGCTGTTATAGGATCAGGTGTGACGGAACACTGTAAACACGGGGCAAAACCTTCGACGTACACGTTTTCATCCGTCCAGCAACCACCCCCATCCCTCAACCCTTTACTCAGACCCGGCGGGCTTCCGTTCGCCGAGGCGCGTCACGGGCGAACGCACGTGAACGAGACCCGTGGATCGAGTTTTAAGCGCTCTGCTCCGCGTGTTACGAGGCGGCGGTGCTCTTTTGAAGCGTGCACGCTCCAACAGTTTCTCCCAGGCACTCTCGATGGGCACCGTTGCACGAATAAAACCGAATCGAACGAAGTCGAACCCAGGCCACCACCACCAGCAACCGTGTTTCGCTGTAACGCGCCGTGAAATTTATTAAAACGTCACCGATACAAGAACACCGAAGGTTTCGCACAACCGTTGATTGTTCGTTTCTCGTTTCCACGCCGCGATTCTCCACCCCCTAGTCACGGGCCCAACTCTCGATCGTCAATTTTAATCGACCGAAACGCGACACGATTGTGTTACTTCCTTGTTTATACGTTTGTCGTTCGAACAATAATGGTTTTTTTTTCCCCGATCCCCAGGCCCTCGTGTGTCCCTCTTTTGTCGTTCTATTTTAAAGGCACGTTTTATTTCAGCGGAGGGTTGAATGTATACGGGCACGTGGGCTTGTGATTAATGAATTATACGAAGGGTATTTAGGTAGATACTTTGTAAGGGGATGTTGATTTTTAGTGGAATGTTGTTCGCGACCTGACTATTCGTGATTTTCATTGTTTTTATAGCAAAGTGGAGAATGTGTATTTAGAAAATTACTTTCCTGTAATTTTGAACGATGTCTTTTATATGATAACGTGTTGCAAATATTTTGTTTCTTTAGGATTATGGAAATTTTGTTAGGTTTGGTGTATACGAAATTTCGTTTTCACAGGTGAAACTTTAAAGCACACCTTAGTTTCCTCGAAACACCGTGCATTTAATTATAATAATTTTCATATTATTCTGCACATTTTCCCGACGATTAATTAATTTCGAGAATACTGTTATAAAATTGGGAAATTCTCGAAATGCTGCTTCTACAGTCTCCTCAGTTTGCAATAATTTCTTGTCTAAATGTTCTATAAAGGTGAAAATCAGTAGGTGCTAGATCAGCGAAATAGGGGAGGATGTGGATTGCATATTCTACCCCTTGAAGTTTCTGAATACTCATTTTCAACACGTGAGTTCTTGCGATAACAAGGTTCTGATATTTCTATTATAAATCTTCATAATATTTAAAGCACCCGTATTACAATATATTTCTTTTTCTGTAATATGATTTAAGAAAATAGAAGATCGGACAAAAGTTTATGAACGTTATTGACCCAAAAAACTCAAACTCACAAACGAAATTTCATAGGCACCAACATAAATACCAGAGGATTCCCTTGATATTTAAATAAAAGATAATGGCCAATAGATGTTTCTCAGAACAATTATAAATACCATGAATAAACCATGATCCCCCATTTGTGGACTCGTGGTTACTTTCCTCAGAAGAGAATCATTCGAGATCCATTTCGCAATTTAGTCTCTTAATTAAATCCAAAGAGGGGGAAGAAATTCTAGGTGGCGTCTAGGTAGCCCGCAGAAATTGAGAAGCTTATTAAATGCGGTGCGATGTAATCCCTTCCCGTCCATCGTGTTAGAAGTTTTAAGGACGATGTAGCAATATCGGATGATTAAAATTAGATTCCTCGTGCGCGCGCGACGAAAAGGTCGTCGTGCTCCTCCCCTGGTGAAAATCATATTTATCTTAAGAGTGGAGAGGCCTCGTATCTCAAGACCTCTAATTACGTTTTAATGAGGCGTCACTAAGAGGGGCCAGCGTCTTGAAAAGGAAAAAAGGAAAATTCCCTTTATTTCGGCCCCGGGCAGGAACAATACCGCGATATGATATCGATTCTAAAGTTGAAAGTGAATCATCCGTTTCCAGCCGATTGGCTTCGTTAAATACAATCCTCGGGACTTCTCATTCCTGGGTAATCCAATCTGATGTCGAGTCACAGATGAACCTTACGGACCTGCCACACACAGAATCGAACCTCGATCCATTTCACCTCGATCGCGTCTTCCCCTTCGGCTAATTACCGCAGGTAAGCGTCGAGAGGATCAATTTTTCATTCATTCCCTAATAACTACGAGATAACAAAAGAGTTGCTAGTAGCGACGGGGATATCCGATGGAATTGCGATCGTTTCGAGAAACTGGAGTTGAAAACGCGCAGTGGGCATCGCAGGTAACCAATCAAATCGTTCAGACTTCTACTACAATGGAGTTCGTTGTAAGACTGATGATCGCGCCAACAGACAGCCGTATTCCTCTCCTTCAGAAAATATTACACAAGCCTGAGCCACGAGAAACACGATGAAAGAATGACACACCATCAAAGGGAAGTTATTACAGAGAATTATTCGCCAGTGGAACCGTAGCAATCTCTTAAGCTCTGAAATTTCATTGTGACGTTCCCATGGACTATTCTCTGTGACCATAGTTTTGATATACAGGGTGTAACAGAAATGTTGCAGGTCCCTGACAATTGTGAGGCGATTGGTAACCAACGTTACCGCAGGGACTCGGCCGACAGACTCGCGCTCCGATTGGTCGGGGTTTTTCGTTAATATCTCGTTAACAGTGCCTTGGATAATATTTTCGCTATGGAAAAACTTGTTCCAAATCGCCTCACGATTGTCAGGGACCTGTAACATTTCTGTTACACCCTGTATACACAGTTTCGAGCTTCGATAACGTGTATGGATAAACTTGGTCCCTGTCGCGAGACGCGTATACCGCGAGCGTCAATCCAATTAGCTCGAATTAATCGGTTAATCGCGTTAGGCGAGAGGGGGGAGAAGCGCATCGTGGTGCTCGCAAACTTTTCCGAAGGCACGCGCGTTTACATTCATACCCCGTCGGTCCACAGTGAACAACAGTGATTAGCAAGTTGATTCAGCGCACGGTGGTATCGATCACTCGAAATCTACGACACACACGGCCTGGATCCGTTTATTCCAGTGTTTCTCAACCTTTTTTGGATCATGCCCGACCTGAACGCCTCAAAAATCTCGATGCCTTCCTAGCAGAACCGTGAGGTGATTGAAGTTCAATAGTGATTCACACGTTTTTACAACACTCTTTATATTGTTATATATGATAAGAAGAAAACTGGGCCTCGGCCGAATGTGATAACCAGGCTAGTACGAAACCGCGATAAACCCCGAAGAGAAAAAATGCAGAGGAAATATAATAAAGCGAAAGGAAGGGTCAGAAAAGCCAAAGTTACTAAAATCTAAACGAGATGAAACAAGGACGTAATGGCAGTCCCATAGCCGTCACAATAGTAAACCATATTCTGAACAAGTTTAACAACAGCTTCAAATAAAAAAATCAAACAGGTAAAACTGTCCTTATATTCAATATAATCCAAAATATTCAAACTGCCCCTCGATAGGGGTTACGCCCCACATTGGGAAACACTGATTCATCTCTACTGCAAACCGTCTTTTGGATGTTGAGTTTAGCACCGTATAAAACCCTATAATCGAAACGTACCTACTGCGCGCGTCCCAGGAACCGGTTGTAAATCATTCGTGGATCAGAAAACTCTCTCCAGGCCATGAATTCCAAGCGCGTAGAAGAAGAAACGTAAATATTACACGTCACGGATTTCGCCAGAAAGAAGGGCTGCAGGAGGGAAGAGCATAAATATTAAAAGTACCTGAGAAAGGCTCTCCGTACGTGTATCCGTCAGGTGTCACCGGCAAAAACGACGCACCCCGTCCACCCCCACACTCCGGAAACCGGGGCAAAATTAGATAGCGGCTCGCGCACACACAAAAGGACCCAGAGAGACATACGAAATATATCCCCTGGTACACGACGGGGGGTACCGTGCATATACATATCTATATATCCAGAGCAGTGCTTCCCAAAAACTGGGAATCTAAATGCAAATACACAAACACGGACGCGCTTAAATCGCCGACGCCGGAGAGTACAGAGAGAGAGAGTCGTAATTCACGAAACTTCTGCCCTACCACCCCCTCTCTGGGCTCCTGATAAAAAGCATCCCCCTTTTCGTTATTGATCTCGGTCGTCTGCTTAATAAAATCGAGATAAAAGTGGCCCCTCTGGTGCCTCTACAGTGACGGACTCCGTATGGAATGGGGAATGGTGACGAGGGCGAACCGTTTTACGCTGACACGTGGAGCTTTCGTAAATAGGAACGGAAAATGTAAACACTTAAATCCGTGAGTCGAGAAGAGTGGCGCCCAGGGGAGGAAGATGGGATGGGAGAAGAATACCAGATAGGAAGAAAACGGCGGGTTCTTAGAGCAACGACTGTCCTCGAGCCAGTGCATAAGGGAAAAAGCATTTCCGCTGTATTCGCGAGGGCGTTATCAGCAGACCGGACGAGAAAGTGTGCAGTGTATGACGACACGCTCGTTATGTCGTCCCTTTACCTAAGAATACCTCGAAATACTGGGAAACGTTTGGCTGCGCCATTGTGTTTTTTGTCAGCGGTTAAGCTTGTGGTTTTCAACGTTTTCACCTCCCCTGCGTGATGTTTCGTTATTATGGCTGACGTGATTGTGGATAGGAACAAATGGAAACACCACAGAACACGAGAAAAAGTGTAGGTTATTAACTAGAGATGTATCAACAATTAACAAGAAGCTCTTGACCTTCAAAAAAAGTAAATTCGATCATCATCGAACATCACTACAAAACACAGCAAATCACTTCATTCGTATGATAAATAAATAAAATGTAATTAATACATTTCTAGTTACCTTTATTCCATAAAAAAAACTGTAATTTATGACTGTTCAATATTACGAACCTAAAGAGAAAATTATATAACGTTGTTCGTTATTTTCTCACGTCTAAACTTTCTCAGAACTTGGTTTACTGTTATATGCCAGGGGGCATCGAGATTTTTGAGCCGTTCAGGTGGAGCATGATCCAAAAAAGGATCGGGAAACACCGATGTAGAGTGTGCAAGTTCCTATTACGCGATGCTTCCGCATAGATATTGAAATTCTTCGAGAAACATCACCGTCAGCTTCAGACCACAGTTTTTAATATACCACGAGCCCGGAGCAGATCAATTTCGGAATTATTACCGAAAAATGTCTGGACTCGGTTTGAAATTTCATACGTATCGTTAAAATTGGCAGAGCCTGGGCACGAATCGCAGTCGAATACAGCTGTCTCCTGCCGGAAAACGCCTCGTGTTCCTTCTGTTGGGCGGTGCAAAACGTTTATTTCAATTTCATTAACCACTCGACAAAATAAACTAGAATTTAATTTATTCGGTCGTTTCAATCGGAAACGTGGGGGTGGTTGGGTGAACGTGGAAATTCCGCGTGGAACGGTGAAACGTATTAAAAGCGAGGGGTCGCACGAAGCAACGTCCACGGACAGAAAAATTGGATCCTGTGCACGCGACTCCGTTTGGTGTGCATTGGGCTGCGAAAACCGTTTCTAAAGTATGGGCCCAACGTGAACAAAAAAAGAAATAGAAAATAAAAGAAACAAACAGCTAATATTGGTGTTTAATTTCACGCTTACCGACAACCACGAGGAACAGAAATATACTGGTGGGCGGATGGGTGGACACTTGGCACTGGTACAATCCGGCGTCCCTCGGTTGAACGTATTTTATTTGAAGAGTCCAATCCTCGCTGTGGAGGAAATGAATTGCCTGGAACCGCTCGTCGTTCGCGTACGTAGTCAACCCGACGGTCAGTAACTCCTGAACGTTCTTCCGTTTGATCCACGACACCTGAGGAGCCGGGGCAAGCAAAAAGTCTCGTTAACAAGAATGTGATCCCGTTGCCCGCGGCCGGAATCGGTCATTTAACCCCCCTTTCCCCCAGAGGGAAACCAAAGACACGCGGTCACTGAACGACTGGGGGACACGTACGCCCTGAGGATGTCGCGTGATCGCTGCCTGATGACCGTATTGGAGGAACGTTCTGTTGAAAATATGGGGAACCATTTATCCAGGTTTACGACATCGATTGGTTCATTATATTGTAGACGACCTGGCGGTACAACCTAGCTTGGGGAAAGATTTATGAACCAAAAGTACACCCTTTTTTTGTAGACCAGATGGTGTTAGAGACTTCAAAGGTTCACTTTCGGTAACATTAAAATTTAATAGCTTCTTATGCTCCATAAATCTTTACAGTAAAATTGTTAAAAATGTGTCTATTTATTTAATAATTTAAAAAAGAAAAGAAATTCCTCATTGGTAGATGTCCAAAAAATGTTAGAGTAGACTTACAAGTTCCCTTATTAGTACGTCCTCTACCATCGGAAATTTTAGAATGTGAACATGAAATAAAGTAATAAAGATTGTAGTCCAAACGGAAATCTTGATCCTATTCTCTTAATAATTTCGTTATCCGAACAGAAATTTCATCTGTTGTTCGTCGGGACATCGGAAACGTTCTTTCCCCCGAGTAAAAATCACCGGCAATAAGCCGAGTAATTCAGTTCCTCTAATGCCTTATTGCGACGACAAATGTGGCCCGTTCTGGGGTCGAGATTTTAATTAATTGCCCGCGAGGTGTGTACAATAATTCCCGACTATCGGATACTGTGCGACGGTGACTTCTTCGGAGACGGGGCACCTGATATTGTTCCTGCCGGGAACAAATAAGCACTGTCTGTTCACGACGATCACTATTCACTTCCCCGTAATATCCAGCCCCGCCGCTTGCCATTGTCTGTCTATTACGGTCAGTAACCACCGCCCATCGTTACGAGTACTAACGTCCGCCATTAGTCAGTATTTTCTATCCGTAGTCAATAACCGGTGTCCATTTCGCGATAGTCGTTAAGTTCTCATCCTACACGTGGATCGATATATCCCCTTACATACTTTGTCTTGAAAATCACCGAGAGTGATTCCTTCCGCAAATTTGATCTTCTTAACCCCTTAACGCCCAGTGTTGTAACAGTCAAAATTCTGTCACTTTCTATCTTCAAAAATAACTGAGCTGTTGAAGGTGTTAAGTTTAGGTGGGACACCCTATATATCGGTGACATAATTTTTAAATAACGATTTTAAGGGTAAAAAAACGAATCTACGTGTTACAAATTCAATTCCACAATCTTGCCTTCCTTTTATTTCTGAATAAAAATCATTTCCATCCCACCCACGTTGTCAGTATCAATATCTAGATATTCTCTGTACTGAATTTACTAGCTTTCATCACGGATGACAAATCTGATTGTCAACCGTCGAAGCTACACTGGCCAGGGATATACAGTCGCGCACCGTTTGCAGAGTAACACAGCACGCGTTCCATTATTTACTTAACAAAGCAATTCTACGGGAAATCGTTGCAGCCCCTAAACTCGTAACCTGTGCCCCCGCAAACACCGTTGCACATATGACGTGGGGTTGCTCGTGCAAATTTAGGTACGTCAATAACGATCGGCAATTGCTCGGTACCGCCCGTTCCTATCCGTCGTACCTTAGGGTAAGCAAGAAATGCCCTCGGTCAGAATAATCCCAGGACTGTGACACAGGATGATTGCACAGCCCGTGACCGGAATTGATCGTGGAACCTATATATCGGTAGATGGGGGCGGCTGCACGTTCTAGAGGAACTTCCCCCCACCCCTTCGCCAGGTGATCCCACCTATTTGTTCGGTGAAATTATTAACTCTGTTTGCAACGAAGCGGATGTCTGGTATCGTAATTATACCTCTAAACATGAATACGAATGCCGACTATGCTCAACCTCCACCCCCCGAGGAATTAGGTGAACCTTGATCGAGGATCCAGATAAACGGAGAAATCCCAGAAATTTCTACGTACAGGGTAATTATTTACGTGTATTTATTCTATAAATTCAATTGTTCTAGACGCTTTCCTGGTCATGAGCATAGAAACAATTTTCGGAATAGATTAACATTATTGACCTGATTATTTACAGTGAGAGTCAAAACTAAGTACAGGAAATCCTCGATGAGTGTTCGAAGGCTCCTTGGCACTGATAAGAAGAGGTTCCTAGCGCTGACTTTTTAATGAGTTTAACACAGATGCGAAACCAATGATATTTGTAACGTTCAGTACTGTGGAGTCTTCGAATACTTATCGAGGATTTACTGTATACACCTTATAAAGGTAAGGTTCGTGTAACGCTTTGGTAGTATTCTACTATTGTAAGAACATAAAAAGAAAAAAAAGAGGAAAAGAAATTCGTATAACCACAAAAGTTGTAAATATTGTTAAATATGGTGAATGTACAATTCAACTGCAAGTGCATTCATGGGTCATTTATTGAAATCGTGACCCAAAATATGCAGAAAAGGTGGTTAAAAATTGTTTGCTGGAAAACACCTTCAATGAGTTAAGTCCTCCTCCACAGTCACCAGATTTTAATTTAACAGAGTATCTATGCGAAATATCTGAGTCTGAGAGAGATAAATATGAATGCATCCCATACTTTCAAAATGTATACTCACTTTTGAGTTATACTCCCTCCATCGCACACTCACTGTACGTGAGAATTTTTCTGTGAAGTGAAAATTCTATTCGAGAGGTCCGGATTTCCGCAGTAACTCGTTATTTCCTCTGATCCGTATGAAACTCGGCGTCACCGTAATGAATTACTAAATGGTTACCTGTTTCGCACCGTCCGTAACTTATTCACCTCCCGTGTCTCTTTACATTGCAGATGTGACCTTGTTCCCGCAAATGGAACCGGGCTACACGAATTGTTTAACGTACTCTCACCATGCTGTATTCTTCTAAAGCGAACCGATTCAGTAACCACACACCACTGAGGCTTCAGCCGTTTAAAAGCACGAAAAACCTATCCGCGTGAAGTGCCATCTACAGGGATAATCCAGCCGCGCTAGATGACGACGACGTAGCTCGTAGCCGAGGAATTGGCCGTGAAACGATGAATCAAGAGATCCCTCCGGATCCGATCTTCACCTCTGTGTCTTTACGTCGATATCATAAAATTTAGGCACCTGATAACGAGGGAATATGGGTGTGTCATCACTGGAGATTGAATGTTCGATGTTCGTCGTCGCGGAAACATTAATCTTTTCATGGTGCGTGTCGGAACGTTCATCTACCTTTCTCGTTCAACCGAGTCGGGCAATTACATCTTTATGCTTTTAATCTTCTAATTTATCGCCCGTTGGAGGACCGATGGCGAAAGAAAACGAGGAACGAAGGAAAAAGAGGGTATTTCGATCGAGGGTACGAAAGGTGCCCGCCCCTCCTTCTCTTCGAAACGACATCAAACACTCAACAAGAGATTAAATGGAATCGCCTGGCGCAGACCACGGCGAGATTACACCGCCCGTAGAAAAATTGACCGTGGAAATTGGAAGGAGAAAGATTCGTCTGCGACGATAGGATCTTTCACGAGCTTAAGCCAGAAGAACGTGTCGCGACGCGGGCTTTCGTTAAAATAGCACAGAACTAGGTACCAAGCGCGTTACACCCTTAACGCGTGCTCTTCGTTAACGTGTAAAGACAGAGCTACACTCGTGCAACGTGCAACCGAATTTATACTTGAGACACACAAAAAACGGTCGATGAACAGGGTGTCCCAAAAAGATGGGACAATCTGCAACAGGCATATTCCTCATGCAAATAAGAATCAAAAAGTCCTTTACCGTTTTGTAATCTGAAGCTCCATTTCGGAGATATTAATAGTTAAATGAACTCCAATCAGCTGAGCAGTGGAAGACACCTTTTTAGGATATCTTGTATAAATATATTATAATATAGGCTATATAATTTTGTTTTTTTTAACATGGTGATTAAACAACAAGTAGACATTCCTTCTGATATTTTTTACTACGTCAGAATGTTCGTGTTCAGCTTGACGTTGCAGGATATCGTTCATTGCGCGTCGACGTATTAAAATCAACCCTTTCAGAAATGTTCTGCAATCTACATCGCACGTGTGTAGCCCTGCCTTAGTGTATTTTATCCGACGATGCTTCATGTTCATCCAAAAGTTTTAGAATTCGTCCTGGGTTCATCCCATTTACCCGTCTCAGTTAGGGTGGTTCCGCGACTTTTACGTAAGACGTCGCCCCGAGGGGTATTTAAAAAGTGAAAAACGGATGCCAACAACGGAGAATCCGGGGCGATTACGGAGACCTATAAGCGGCCATTGGCTGCCTCCGCGAGGAATAATGAGAAGCGACGGGGATAAACAGCCAGCGTCGTCGGTGAAGGAACGCGAATGGGGACAGAAAGGACCGAAGGAAAGGCAGGGATGCTGCGCTCGCCAGAACCAAGTTTCTCACGTACACCGCGCTACGCTGCGAAATTCGCGGCACTCGTGGAACACTTCTGGTCCGGAATCAGTCGAAAAACGAAGGAAATTGCGAGGAACCGCTTTCATCGCGGCAATAACCTGTCCACCGTAACGACCATCAATCGATCAAACGGAAAATGGACAACGATAAAATATTCGACCCGCGTTCATACTGAATCCACGACGAGCAGACCGAAAGTGGAAACATGGTTTTTTTTTCAATGAGTGGCTCGAATTATGGGGCTGATTCGAAGAGACACTTCCGTTTTACAAGCTTAAACCGTGATTTCCTGAGTCTGCGACATTTCACGAAGTAATATAATAAATACAATCGACTTCTGTAAACTGTGAGATGTTTGATAGTGAAATACCTATTTTTTCGATTATTGGGAACCTAATGAACTGTACTAACAAGTAAATTCCACCTAATAAATTTAAATTGTTATTTTTCCTGAGCAACCTATACATCAGAGAAAAA